TTTTTTTTTTTTTTTTTTTTCCCGTAATTTATTCGTAACAGATATTCAAAGGAGATAGAAGGAGAGAGGGAGAAAGACGAGATAGAGACGAGAGATTAGAACGCTGTTTAGATGCCGGTTAATCTCTTCGTCTTCTCTGCTTTGAATTCACTCTATCAATACACCGATGTACCGGCTTAACAAAACTTCCTTTGTTCATCTGCTTTAAAGTTTAAAAACTGGTCACTCACTTCAACTTTTTTTAAGATAAAATATATCGACGTTTCCAAGTCCTTGGTTATCTAAAATGTCAATCTTAAAATATCCAAGATCTAGGACTTAAAGTTTTATCCATTCGTATTGGTTCCATCGAGTTTTACTTATCTGATGAGATGGTACCTATGCCGAGACAGATGTTTGGTAATATGTGACTCGAAAGGTCTCGCGTGGTGTTGCATGACTTGGCGTGACTTTTTTCACCTAAAATTGACCAACCATTGAGTACTAAACAGTGCAATACAATAAGTAGCCATGTGGTTTATTTATTATCTACTTTATTTACCTTCTTGATAAAAGAAAGCGCACCCTGACAAAACTTAGGGCTTGACAGCAAAACGAAAATGAAGCTTAATTTTGGACAGATTTTCTTCCAACTGCGCTCATTATTCATTGACCTTTTTATAAAAGTTCTTTGTTCAAACCCTAAATATATTTTTAAAAGGGTATTAAGAACAAACTCGTCGAAGTATTTTTCATGCTCAGCTTTGACTGAAATACTCACTGATAAAATCGCTAAAATCATTCGTCTCAGCTCTCATTATCTCCGAGACCAATTTAGCGTTTGAATTTTGAATTTTAGTGTTTTGAGAGTACCGGATAAAAACCATAAAAGCAATACAACAATAACTGAGATAGCCTCACCATCAAAAACAACACAAATGATTCTTTCCATGCAGTTGGGATTGAAAGCGTTTCAAAACCTCCTCAAACTGTCAAAATGTGATAAATTAGATTTTGTTATATACGTAATGATTCGCCAAAAATACATGTTTTCGTCAAAAAAAAAACAACATTTGTCACGCTAACTAGGGTTTTAATATGAGATTATGTAGGATTTTCCAAAGGTCTTTAGTTTAAGAAAAATGTGATCTTCCAGACCATTTTGCTTGATATAGCTAGCGTTGTAAGATGTTTAAGAAGCACGAATATTTCATCCCCACACCTCCTATGTTCAACACCACTGCAAAAAAAAWATATTTTGACTTCTTACTTCACACAAGAATTACAATTTGAAACCATACTTAATTATAAAAAAGAAATATTGATCCTTAAATTTAAACCTATATTTGAGGGTCTTTTATTTTGCTTTTTGTCAATATCATTTTAAACCCAAAGTTTGGATTCACTTAGTGAATTTTTTCAAGAATCGCAAATGTGTTGTTATATTTTTTAAAACCGATATTTATATTGTATTTGAGGCGGGCTTCGAACCTTAGAAACTCAGCCCTTAGCAGTGCTTTAACTACGATTTTTTTCATGTTGTCGGCCTTTTTCGATTGGGTTAATTTGATATGTTCTTCACAGTAGCTCACTTGTGCGAGTTGGAAGGGATTCATCATGGGAATTGCTAAGTTTGATGAATTGTTTGGAAATTGTCTTACTTCGTTAGGCTTATTTTTCCTAAGTACGGAAATGAGAAAAGTAGTGTTGAATACTTATTATTATTCTAGTGTCCTGAAGGGAAAAATACCAAAATATGAATAATATATGCAATTGAAGATAGTGGTGACCTGAGGACACCTAAACCGTTCCAAAAAAAGCTTTTATGTATGTCAAGTTTTTCACTTGCATCCCGAAATTCCAAGTATATTTTTTCCTAATAGGAAACCACTTCATATACGATTTAAGAAGTAGAACTTATTTGACGATTTAAACGCATAAACCTGTGTGTAGCTCGGTAGAGTTCATGGGCACCATTCGCGATACTGAGCGAAGAATATTATATTCGCTTTGTAAGTAATTGTAAATTAAGTCTTATTTGAAAAAGAACTTTGAATGGAGCACTATAGTCGATTGTTGGACGAGTTTATTTACATATATAGCACCTGGAATTTTTCTATTTATTTCTCATGTTCGAAACTTTGAATGTGGCCTAAGTGTTCTGTGGCCGGAAAGAAATATTCAGATGGACACAGCATGAATTCATGCAATTTGTCTTTATTTCTTTCATACCGGCAAGAACTGAACTCCGGTTCCCGATCCTCGGATTCTAAGGACATCAGCCAAAAAACAAGACAATTGAATGTGAAATTTGTAATATTTTATGTGGGCTATGAACTTTAACAAATGAACAACAGTGTTGTTGTTGGGTAAAATGATTAAAGGATCTTGATCGATGTGGTTTGGCTCCTCAAATGTATACAAGCTCGAAGCACCGAGTCCAACATTAATGCATTGTTGTTATTCTTGTTTGTTTTCACGGCATGCTGATTTTTTGCCCTGTCGTTGATGATATCGACGGCACCATATTATCGTGCATTGGTGTACTAGTCTATAGCACTCGAATAAAAAATCTAGGAGGATTTTTCACTGACCTATTTTCAATGTTACTCACTTCACTTACGTATACTGTTCTTGTTTTGTCTCTCAGAAATTCTCTAATAGCACTCTAAATTATTCTAAGATGCGATTAACGTTCAGAACATGCTTTCGTTTGACACTGAGATCCTTTTGTCCAATAAACGTACGGATTTTTCTTTCGCTTTAGGAAACACTTTTTTTTTTGTCTCGCACCAAACACGCTGCCGATGGTCATAGCACTCATGCAAGGTTCCCCGTGATTGGTTAATTCGATAATCCATTTTAGAACCAACAATAGTGCCACATGTGTATAGGCGCTCTTTATACTTGCTCTGCGCGTCTTTTTTGAAAGGTATTCACGCGCTGGTGATTGACTGACAAAGCCATTTGCAAGAGCACTGTGGCCAGCTGTCTTGGGTTAAAAGGGAGCATAACTGGGTCCCAACCTGCGTTAATCGAGTGAGCTCGCACTTAAAGCAGCTCTTAGTGTTTTGGTTGATGTCTCAGTTTGACTCGCCCGCGAGGAAGAGCGAACTTCTTGAAGAGTGCGCCAACAACGATCTTTGCCTGTCAAAGGCAGGAATCAAACAGAAGTGAAGAACACACTGACACAATACAGCAACCCGTAACATTTACTGTGCAAGGTTCAAGAGAAAATATGGGAGATGAAATGCTGAGTGTCTTTTATAACGGGGATATATTCGGAAGCAATGGAGCACTCAATGACAACAGCATTCAAGCTTTAAAATCTGGCTTAGCAGATTCCACGGAGTTCCATCTCTTTCGTGACTACTTTGGCTTGAGCCATTTGGTAAAGAACACTACTCTTTGTGATGAGGACGCCAATGAACTTGAGAAATTCTATAAGTTTACGTACAATCGATCCCGAGGAGACAGCATTGGCTCAGATCGTGATTCCATCTCTAGTTCAGGATCCAGTGGAATCAGCGCAGAGTTCGACCTGAAATTGGAAAACCATTTTACTTCAAAAGCTGTTGGATCATCGCTTGCGCCTGGCAGCACGCTGTCGACCAGGTCTCTAACAAACTTAAAACGAACTGACATTGATACTGTAGCCAGAAATCGAAAAAACCGCGAAAACAAGAAAAACCGCAACGCCAATGTTTGCGTCTTTTGCAGAAATAACGGCGAAACCAAGAAAGTTTACTCGAGTCATGTGCTGAAAGATGCTGATGGCAACACTACTTGCCCGATTCTACGAGCTTATACCTGCCCATTGTGCAAAGCATCGGGAAATGATTCCCACACCATCAAATATTGCCCAAGAAACAAGAATGGGAATAAAATGCAAGCTAAGGTATAAACTTGCCTAAAACGCTTAATAATCAGAATTGGATTGTTCAGCCTTCCTTCTAATTGAGGAAAAATTTGTGTGTCTGTCAACGTTTTGCGTTTATTCAGCAAAGAACAAATTTGCATCTTTAAAAAACGGTTTTTTAGACCTCCCTAGTGTGTTCGTACGATCCCTGACAGTTTTATGACAGACAAAGTCCGACTCAAACGTCAAAAAGAAAAACAAAGAAATGACCCATTCCATCAAAATATTCTGGCAAGAAAAAAATGAAACTCCGCATTTTTTTTAGAACTTGTCATAATTTTCCAAAATTCTAAGCAGAGCTTTTCTGCCTAATATCTTTAGCCAAAATTCAGTCCCTTCCCATGGATATTTGGGTGTGTAATAATTCAAAATTGTGATTTTTTTTTTCAAAACGCCATTTAAACTGTTATCGCAGTAAAATTTCTTTTTTGTTTACAAAGAAGAAAATGTTACGAAAATATTTCTCGAATTTGCCTGCAAATTTGTGTCAAATCATTGCCAACTAATCCCAAAAATAACGTCGTATATATAAATATATCACAATTTATCAATTTATAAAGAAGTATCTTGGAACGCATATATTGAATGCGGCAGATTGAGCCAAAAAAAATATTCTGAAGTATAAAAGTATATTATATTAATAACTTTATTTAGAAGAAAATATAATTGACTAGTCCTTTAAATATAACAGAGACCTGCATTTTGGTTTGTTATTCATTCCATGAAATAATAATTTGGGAGAGTTTATTTTATTCCAGAGAAAATTGATTCTGGTTACTCTTCTTATTCAGGAAATATTTGGACATTGTTAGGAAATTTCTAGTTCTCTCAGCTCTTTGAGAAGAAAAAAATAATAATACAAGTGTAAATAGTGATATAGGCGTTCATCTTTGGAATGATGGGCGCTATTTGGACGTTTATTGTACTAAAAATCTCAAACTTTCTAAAACCCATTTAAGTGATTGTCAAATACATAAAATCATTTCCATTGCCGCTACAAAAAGGGCATGGATTGCTTGCTTCAATTATACGAAATAAAAGCGATAAAATACAATACAAAGTGTGTTTTTTGTGTTTGTGGAATAAATTCTAAAGTACACATTACTAGAAAAAAATTCCAGAAATCCTCCGCTAAAAAGAGGATTTTGTTTTAATGACTGAACTGCTTATTTTTTTTCAGAGTGAGTTAAACTGGTAATTCTAATTTTTAATACAACAAAATCTCTCTCAAAAAATTGGAATTAAACCACGTCGAGCGTCAACCAGCTTTCAAGTTCGAAGCACTTATTATCAGAACTCGACGCAAATATTAATACAAGAAAATGTTTAAGTTCTGAACGTGAATTGTTTTGTTTTTTTTTTTTTAGTTTATTCCAAAAATGTTTTCAAAGGATTTTGACTTCATTTATAAGTGGAGTTGTTTATTGAAAGCGTTTTAGCCCTGAGCATTGAAAGGTTGGATTCAGAGGAGATGAAACACGAATAAAGCAACCCGAATAAACATGAACATCAGTTCATGAAGCCAAACGAAATTGAGAATTCTTTGTTTTGGCATGGGTGTCATTAGTAATGTCATCACTGACTCCGACAGCAAGTCGAAATCTCATCGACTCGACAATTTGGACTCAATATCATGTAGAAGTCATCGTTCCTTTCATTTAAGTAAGTTTGGCTCTCCGTCATCTCCAATCCAGAGCTTGCCGGATTTTGCCTTCTTTATTGTTTAAAGAAGAAACTATTTCTTCCTCTTGATGATAAGAGGGCCGCGGATTAGGGCACGTCTCTGATTCGCTCGATAGTAAAAAACTGTCCTACGGGCAAAATCATTCTAAATACGACCTTTCTGTGTGATTTTGATCAATCACTTGAATTAGCTCATATCTTGAACCACAACAGTGGTAAATTTTGAAGAAATTTTTTTATTTTATTTTCCACTTAATGCCTATTTAGTTGCTTTACAAATCCGATAGTAAAGGGTAAAGCAATTGATTAAAAAGTAAAATAAGTATAACTAGCACAGAAAAGTATTGCCCTTTTTTAATTTCTCGATCATGGATAGCGTTCAAGTCAAAGAGATAACAAAAATTGAAACAACAACAACAAAATAACAAAATAATTGAATAGCCTTTTGCTCAAACGTCGATTGATTTTATTTATTTTTCAATTTACAATTATCCGATTTATATCATATATTAGTATAGAGGGAGAAAATGGTTTGGGTAGCGCTTTTTCTTTATGTAGCGAATGTTATTCTTTTGCCATATGAGAGTCTTATCCATAGATAAGGAAATGCCCCCCTTTCACTATCGTTTCAATCAGGTATTCCCCGAAATAAAACCCTTGAATCTGTATATGAAAGGGCAAAGTATAAAAGTGGAAAACAGAGATATGGATTGATCGGTAAGCTAATTGAGAGCGGAAATCCAGAGAAAAAAAGAAGAGAAGAAAAAATATCTGAATGATTATTATGCAAAATCCAAACCTTTTGTGAAATTTGAGACCTCACATTTTTTTGAATTCAAAACCAAAAAAGACCACTTTTTCTCTCATGTCAAGATAAATAAGATATTTTCCAGTGCTTTCTGGCTCTCTTTTTCTTTCTTTCTTTTTTTTTTTTTTTTTTTCTTA